GCCTTCGAGAGTAAGCCGGGCTTCTTGCCGGGCTAGCATGGAAAGTTCTTCGCTGTTCATGGGGCTTTTTTCGGCTCGATGAGTTCAGCTTGCCTCTCATCGTGCCATGCCTTGTGCACTCGCCGTTCGTGCACGCCCCGTCCTCTGCCAGTAAGGAAGGACTTGGTGCAGGCCGGGAACCGGTATTCATATTGGACTGCTTCATTGGAGGAAGGTGCCAGTGTCGGACCAGAGGCGCCTGAGGGCGCTCCGGTCATGTCTCTTGAAGCAAGAATATTTTTATTATTATTTTCATCCGAGACTTGTTTGTGAGTTTTTGGGCCGACATAAAAACAGTCGAGGGGGGTGGCAGCTCCGTGTGGCGCAAAGGTGACTCTTGGCTTCTCCCCAAAGAGGGGAATTACCAGCGGGAACCAACGAGGAGGTAGCCACTTGCTAAACTAAGCTCCTTAAGGGCTGATCTCGGATACTAGTCCAGCCGACCGGGTACTAGACCACCGAAGTGAGTACTAGCCCGGCGAACTGGCCCGACACCTCAAGCGAGGTTTTTTTTTTTTTTTGGAAGGTGGAGAAATGCATTACGCACACCGAACTGGTGTTGTTGTCCGGTAGTGTGGGACTCGCGCTTCGCGCATACCCACTAAAACTCCACCTTGTGTTATGCCTGAGATGGCAGGCAGCACCGTAGTTGCTGGGACCTGTTGCTCCCTATCCGATTCCAGTTCTTGGAGTGTTGATCTTCCGCGTAGATGTTGCACGGTTAAATCTCCAGAACGAGGCCAATCCTCCGACGATAACCCGTGTAGATATAATTTTCAACTCCGTCTTTTTTAACACGTTGTTTTGTGTTAGTTCCCTTGCTGATTTCTGACTCCATATTCCACGGAAGTTTATGGTAGCGGATGTAGTGTCCACCTTATCAACTCCGTATCTTTCCTTTATGGCATTCTCTATTGTTTTATATTTCTGCACCTTTTGCTCATGTGCTTCCGCTAGGCTTATCTGGTCGCCTACCACTTGGGCATCGACGACTAGTGCTGAAGTTTTGGACACCGCAACGATATCCGGTTTACGTATACCGTTCGGTGTTTTAATGTGTGGCTCTAGGCACACGTTCTCGAAGCGCTTATCTAGTGATCTCTTGATGTATGAGATTACGGCGTTATGTCTTTCGCGCTTTATGCGTACGGTGACAATTTTGAAGGACATGTGCCAACGTTTCGATTGCATTGCAGCCCGCTCTGCAAGCGCAGTCCGATGGTCGGCCGCGAGAGGTGCGAGACCTAGTCGGCATTGCATTGATCCGTAGTTTAATGGCGTTAATGTAGTCTTTTCCGGATAATAGTCTATTCCCAGAGGTAACCCACTGATGCTGCTGTGGAACGTTACCCGATTCTTTGAGGCCATGTCCATCGACTGAGCTGTGGAGTCGGTCCCTCCATCTCTTGTCAATCATACAGGTGTTCGTGTATGATAGGCCTTTCTCCGTAAGCCGACGAGCAGCTCGTTGGATCTCCTGTGAAAGATAAGGGTCTTAAGAGAGTCATAGTTACTCCCGCCGTTTACCCGCACTTTTTTTGAATTTCTTCACGTTGACATTGAAAGCACTGGACAGAAACCACATTGCGTCAACACCCTTGGGGGCCATCGCAAATTTGTGGTCGAATATTTTAGATAGATCTGGTTTATTCTTACGCACAGTTTCCACTAAAAGAAGTTTATCTTTGTGTCGTCGGGCATCCGACGTTACCTCAGGCTCCATAACCATCACAGCCTGTAGAAAAAAGGAGATGATTTGGACTTCTTATTCGCATGAAGAAATCAACCATTATATTATTAATTATAAGCCAATGGCAATGGCTCGGTTTTTCATGCCAACAAGAAGTTTTAACGTCCGTCGCGCGCTAGCACGTTGTTGTGCCTTTGTTTTCATTCCCCGGCCGATGTAAGTTGAGTCATGATGCCCTCCGGTTAGCACC